TCCCCCCGCCTGGAAGGCCCTTCCTGCTGCTCTTCCCATGGGCCATCCGCGAGCGTCTCTGCCCCTGGGTCTCTGGCCTCAGGAAAGCTTAAGGGATCAGGCCGTGCTGCTTGTGCAGGAAGAGAAGCACAAGGGAAGGAGCTCAATGTGACATACGAGCAGAGCTGCCCGTACAGCTGGCAGGTGACCGCGGCAAGTGTGAAGCCAAAAGGGGGAAGTCCAGGATATAGTGGGAAGGAAACGGGGCCTCCAGATCTGTCCAGCGACAAAGCGCTAAGATGCCTGGCGCGCGTGTTAGGTGTGAGAACTGCCCCTACGACATTCCTATGTTTGACAAACCTACGGGGGCTGGCAGCCTACCGACAGTCAGAGCTGAGTGTGGCTTCAGTAAAAACTCACATAACTTCAGCTTCTTAGCATATGGCCATCTTACGGACAATAACTCATAAATGAAAAAATTTAATAAAATGTGACTGAAAGGGTTATTAGGTGGTCCACAGAAATACTCTAGGTTTGCGGTTCTCAGGCTGCCGAAGAACCTGCCCCCCCACCCACCCTGGGCAAGTCTAAGGCCCGCCAGGCTCTGACTCACTGGCCCCGGGCGCGCACCTGTACCTGGGGTTACCTTTCTGAACCTCCCACTTCGACCAAACGCCAGATAGAGATTAGCAGCTGCAACCTGGCCCTCTCACTAGTGTCCACGGAACTGAGCCATTATCTGAGAGATGGGTTCTCAATCCACACAATTTAACTTGAGGAGGAAACTGCTTACCTCCCACACCCCCTGCTCACTTAACATCAGTCTCAAAGAGGATTTATGAAGCAGCCCCACTTCCCTGTGAAGCTCGTTCTGTGTAACCCGTCTGTGGCAGTGGGTGAGTGTCTGCTGACGGAAGAGATGTTCACATGCTGGGGTCTGGGGAAGTCACTCTGGCTTATACATAATTCAACTTGAATTTTACGCAAAAATTTTATGCTAAAATGAAACAGCCTGTTTGTGGCCTATCAAACATACATTGTACATCTGTTTTAATCATTACGGAAAAGGATGCATTGACCAGAAGTAAAGAATGGCCATGTTAAAAATGAGGACTAGACGCCTCCCTCCCTGGGGCCCCAGCGCTGGGCCCTCTTTGACGATTAGACCCCTGCCCGGGGGCCAAGGCCACACTGACTCGCTGTGCACCTGCTGATCCGATTATGATGTTTCTTTTTTTTAAAACCTTGAAGGAATGTACCCCTGGCTTGCTTGACGTTCTTCGTTCCGACAGGACATTAAACTGCTGAGAACCATGCCTCTCGGGGTCGGTTCCTCACAGTTATCTTGAGAAGTGTCTCCTGGGCTATAGTCCCCATTTTGGCTCAAATGAAGCTCTTTTCGACTCCTATCAGAGGCTGGTTTACTGACTGTTTCCATGGATACTGCCTACGTCACTGAGTGTGGAGGCAGCACTGGCCCCAGTCTGGCCTGGCAGCAGGAGTGCACCGGCCCTTCTCAGTATCCGGGGGCGCTGGCTCCACCCGTCAACTCAGGAACCATTTGCTTTTCCTCTGGCAGCTAACAAAACATCTAGAACTTGCATGAGTTGAGGCAATGAGAAAAAAGCCCTCGTGGTGTGATGTCTTCTCCTCTGAGCACACCACAGCTGATGGAGCTACTGGGAGATGGCGGCAAATCCAGGCTGGGATCGGGAGCAGGTTCCTAGAGCTCCGCATCAGTGGTAGCCTGTGCTTGGGCACCTAATTTGTGTGTGTGTGTGTGTATCTAAAATCTGTAAATACTTTTTTTTTGGAGGGGGAAGTAATTAGGTTTATTTATTTATTTATTTAATGGAGGTACTGGGGATTGAACCCAGCACCTTATGCATGCTAAGCACTGTGCTCTACCACTGAGCTACACCCTCCTGCCCTGTAAAATCTGTAAATACCTGAATCCACGAAGGAGCCAGTAACCCACAGTGGTCCAGCGCATGTGCCTGAAACATCTTGTGTGCATCCCGGAAACTCACAGTGCTGACCACACTCTGCTTTGTAGCTGGTCAGCTGCACTGTGGTTCGCCTGTGCGCATTCATGCATCAACTAATACTTACCAAGCATTTACTCTGTATTGCCTATTATTTTTACTCTATTGCATCTGCTCCCAGCTAGGTGCTGGGCATACCGGGATGAACGAAACATGGTCCCTATCATTCTGTGGGACTTGGAGCCCCAGCCTAAGAATCTGGGGTCACCACTGCCACTGCTGCTGATGAAATCATAGCACCTGCGACATCTGCAATGACATCACATTACCGATGACATCATGTCACCCATAGCATCTGCTGACAGCGTCACTTTGCCCATGACACCTGCATAATGCTCTGCTCGCCAAAGAGCGCGTTCACAGCTCCTCCTTCAGCTGAGCTCCACATAACCTGCTGTCCGGTCTGACAAGGGACACCCGCTGCTGAAGACAGGGCGCTGGATCCACATGCAGGTTGCCCTGACTTGGCTCCGGGTCATCACCCTTGCCCCACACAGACTCCAGGTAATGACTCTGGAACCTGAGAGGCAGAGTTACTGGTAGAGAGAGCTCTCTGGTCTCCAGGGAATGGTCATTAGTATAACTGATGAGAAACGGAAACAGACTTCCTGAAGGACCCTGCTATGTTAGGAGCTGACAGACATCCGAGGGCCTTCTAGAAAAGCCCTGAGATGCAGACGAGGCCCTCCTGCATGTAGCAGAGGGTCAGAATAACTAAGAAAATGCCAAGACGCACATAAGAGGATGCAGAATATTGGCCAGGATTAACAGAATGAAATATAATCCTTAGAATGTCAAGAAAGGAGTCAGATCCTTCTCAACAGGGAGAAAAGGTTCCCAAGGTGGCTGTGCAGCTGTGTGTTTAGGGTGAAGAGTTGTAAACTTTTGGGTGCAAGCATCCCAAAGGGGTGTTCTTTCTGTAAGGTTACCTCTAGAGATCAAGAACACAGCCAGGCATGCGGTAGGGACGACTGTCCATTGGCTTATAAAATAGAAGATTCCTACAGAGTGGTAGCAATTCAGCCTTGGCCAAGTATTTCCAAGGAGCAAAACTGCTATGTCTAAGAATGTTCAAGTAGCTGAATGAGCCGATATCGCAGAGAAAGAGTGCTTCCTACATCACAAGCCCAGGAGGATGAGGCTTAGAAAACAGTGACCTGTAGCCATGAGTGTTTGGGGCACAGGTGTTGCCAAAAGGACTCAGGAGCTGACTTGAAGCAGCCAGTAATGGGTAAATGGTTCCACCTCCTACAACCATCACAGATTGAAACATATCAAGTATACTCAAATTTACAATGGCACTCAAACCACCATTACCACCAAGGGAGCAGAGAACAAGCTCTTTGTTTTGGAAACTGGTAGATAAAGTGAACGAAACCAAGCATTTGTCTTGGCTCTCCTGTTTGAACTCTACCATATGA